GAAGACGGCAGCTCAGAAGAAAAAGGTAAATGGCACTGAACAGTGGTGAATATTGCAAATGCAGTTAATAAAATACAAGTATGTGAATAGTTCCATCTGAAATAAATGAAAATAGTTGTTTTAAATGGTTATTGAGTCAGAAATGTGGCGGATAATATTTGGTTTATTGAAAGGTTTTTATCTGTCTCTGCGCAAATGGGTTTAGCTGACATTTAAGCAGACAATCACAACAACGGTACTGCTGCTGAAGTTCATCAAAAATGTTATTAGCACCCAGAACAGTAGTGAGAAGATCGGTATCCACTCTTCGCCTGCTTTGTATGTCAACTGTCACAATTGTTAAGCGACAGAGCTTAGCACTACTGAAGAAAATAGAAAACTCTATAAAAGCCTCCTCATGCAGTTCAAGAGTGACAGTAATTTATTTCCTGGAGTATTTCAACAATCTGTTGATAGTGGTGATAATTATGAGCTAAATCACAAGTTCTCTGCATGTTTACATTTGCAAACCATCACCAGCAGGTGCTGCTGTTTGCCCGGCATGTTTTCCATGCTGGTCACACATTTTCCTAGACTAATAGCCATTCAAAATTTCCCCACTTTCTTTGATGGGTCCTTGGCTGGTCCCCTACGATTCCTTTTAAAACATAAATATTTGTACTTAAATAATGTTTTCTGTCATGATTTGTGGAAATTTAGGATTTAAAAAGAAGCATCATCTCCTAGTAAGTCCCTGTAATTCAGTGAAAGGGTGGAGTCAGAGTAAAAATAAAAAAAGCAAGAGGGGGTCACTCCAGTGGCTGGAAGTGGGAGGGGATTTCACTGGGAGTTGGAGGGAAGTTGGCTGCCATTCGGCTGGCGTTTGACTGGGAAGGGCCACTTTGAAAGGCTGCTACTGTCGGGAAATTCTGTCCACAAGAAGTCCGCATGGACGGATGTGGAAGCTCAAAATAACGTCATTTGAGTTATGGAGTTCCTTTTAAAAAAAGAATATATTCATCCCTGTAAACTAATTGTAAATAAATTGTTCAATGAAAGCTCAGACTGCTGTGAAATGTCCATTTGGGTCATATGACTAATTTAGAGACGGATCCGACCCTCTAAAGATACATTGATGAATTTTTGACAATAGCAGCCCACACTGAGCATCGATATGCAGTATTTTACATTGACCTGTAAACATTTGATTGTATCTTAAAATAAGTTAATACCTGGGTATGTAAAAACACTGCAGAACAGTCTAATTTTAACTCATCTAGTTTTAATTAACTTCCATCAGTCTGGGCTGGCTTTTAAAAAAAACATAAAATACCAATAATTTAGTTGAAAGTGAAACAAAAAAAAAAAAACAAATGACAAAAATAAAAACACAAAAGGGTTTTTATCTATTTCAGTATATATGTTTTATAGCTAAATGCTGATAGAATTGTAGAGAAGTTCCCAGAGTAATCAAAGACTAACCAAGATGTCATCATATGTACGGAAATAATACATTCTGGAAGACATACTGGGGTCAATAACAGGAGATATGAAACAAAAGGAGCGTCGAAATCTTTAGACTCTCTCTTTTTCCTCACACTCAACAGCCACAGTGTTTTGTGTTTAAAATCCAAACAGCGCCACAGCGTTGATCTACCTAACATGTTGTGTTGAATCACCCTGTGCGGTTTTGTGTTGCAGTTTAAAATAAGCACATACTCATAACATTGCGCTATGTTATATTTATGGAATCCCCCATATAATCAGGGTCTGTGTCATTCATTCTAATGTTGATAGTCACCTGTTTGTTTTTACTGGCAACCATGACTCACTGGCCACTAATGGAACCCAACAGAAACACATACTTAAAGATTTAGTTCCAGCTTTCTCAGTCTCTGATGTAGCTTTGCTCATTTAAAATGCATCATAACAAAAGTGATTTTACTCTCCTTACCATTAAAAGTAAATATTTATATATTTTTTTGCCTTCTCAACCTTCATCCTGTCACAGCAAATGACTGCTTACGCTGATCTTTGGTCTTCTGGTTTCCTTTTGTTAGAAGAGATTCAACCCTCACCACTGTCACCACAGGCCAGCTCAGGATGAGGGATTGCTACAAGGTCAGTGACTCAATGCCATCCGTTAGGTGTAGAGACATTATAGCCGTTTCTCAATATGTGTACTTGTTCAATCTGATGTGCTTGTGAAACGTCATCAGCCTCAGGCCTAGTTCTGTTCCAATTCACAAGAACAACAGACCAAGAAGAGACAAAGTCCCCGGATGTTGCTTTAGCCCCTCCCTCTTTACCCAGCATGCATCAGAGCAGACTTGTCCGTTCTTGAGCTTGACAGCTGTCCCAGCATGCACTGCGGCAGCAGCAGCTTCCAATGGAGCGTTCACAGAGCTCAGAATATTAAATTAAAAGTTATTTTCTGTTGCTGCTGTTTAATAAAAGTATGTTTTAATTAACCTGACTCAGCCAGATGGATTTGCTCCGCATATCCATCTGGAAACCTTCCGTTGAAGTAATTTTGGGAAGGCGAAAATACTGGTTAGCTGATTGGCCTATGTTGGTGATAGACGGGCCAAATAAACCAATCAGATCAACGAAGCATATGACGTACTAACAGCTAGGCTACTCTTGCCGAAACCAGTCGGGAGAAGAGCAAAAACATCTTTTCCTCTGAGAAAAGCCTCCAGAGCAGTGTTTTGCTCTTCTTTCAGTGAAGAAATACTCTGTAATTCCGATCAAACTTGCTCGATAGCCACGCTAACGCTAGTTAGTGTTCTTTAGACTGAACTGTCGCGCTTCTCGTTGCGTCACACATCAACCCGCCTCAAAGCCAACGCTGATTGGACGTTCGTTTGGTTAACGGCTCCAAATTTTCTTCAACGGAGAGTCTCCAGACTGACTAGCGAGCGAAATCTTAAAAACTCGCGAAATCAGGATGGTCTCACCAGGCTATGTTTTAATACCATTTGAGGTGAAAACATTATACTTTTAAGCGCCACTATAAGGCTCATTTACCGATTTAATGCGTCATTTTAAAAACAACTTCCGAATTTTAAAGGACCATGGCAACCAGCAGACCTCTCAGGGTTGCGGCAACCAGGGCTAATCGCAGCCCGTCTGCAGCAGCCCTCTCTCTGCATAGAGAGGACCGCTGGCTCTGAAGACGAGATTTTTGTTTTATTTTGCAAAATGTTCATTTGATTTGTGTTTATCATGCTGTGTTCATTATTATTCCCACAATACATTAAAAAAAGTAAGAATTTTTTATAATCTAGACTAGAGACTAGGTGAAATGCAGCTCCAGACGAGCTGAGCGTGTGGTGATGTCATCGGTACGCTTCTGTTCCAATTGACCCATATTTAGCTGCTTGCTCCTGTTCTCCTGAAGTCTACATTTTCCTGTTTTCTTCTCAAGAACAAACTTGGCGAGGACACAAGTCCGTATTCGCTTTCTATTGAATTGAGAAACGGCCAATGTTTTTACCACATGATTGTATGATTGACAATTGAATTATTAATGGATTCAAATGTATTAAAACCCCACATGAATAAGATTGATTTTACTGAATGCATTAGGTGCATTTTTATTAGGTATGATGGGTGCAAATGACTTAAACAACATTTATTGTCATTTTGTATACTCAGAGTGTATACAAAATTAATTTTTTTTTTTTTTGTAAAGCTCCCATAACATTTCCATTTTCCTTAAGTACAGCAGTGATCAAATCTGGGGCGGATTTACCAATAGGGAATACTAGGTAGTTGCGAAGTTCCTGGGGGCCCCATAGAACTCTGTTTACATGTATGGTTAATACAACTATCCCTTATTTGTGCATAAAAATTGTGTTTTTGATAGAAATCCATTTGTTAAAATACCATCAGACCGCCATCAGACCCCCAACCATATTGGATCAATACATTTGCTGCACATGTTCAAAAAGATCCAGACAGACAGCAGCAAACCATTTGAAAAAAAAAAAAAGGTACGAAGAGCAGTGTTGCCAACTTAGCACTTTCTCGCTATATTTAGCGACTTTTCAGACCCCTATAGTACTTTTATTTCAGAAAAGAGCGTAGTACCAGATCTAGATACTTTTTTCTGCTAGTGGAATTTGGCAACAACAAATAAAAGCACCAAACTCTGCTCTCCAGAGCAAGTAGGTTCTGTTGTCATGATTCATGCAGCTATTATTTCATTCTAATTAAAAATAGAGAATAGATAAGCAGATCAAGGCTTGTCTACAGTGAAAAGAAGGACTGGGTTATTTACTTTTGCCGCAGCCTTTTTGAAAACACAGGAAGGAGCAATCAGCTAAGTGAGCTTAGTGTTGGAAAAAATCTTTCATTCCTTTTGAGATAGCATGAAAAGTCAGCTGAGTAAAAAAAATAGAGGAAAAGGACAAAAAAGGGACAAGAAGAGGGACAAAACATAGAAAAAATAATGGATGCCTATTCTATTAAAATTTCTGTATCTGTATAATGGGTCTATTTTATGTGTTGTCTTCTCAGTTAAGAGGACCTTGTCTTTGCCTAGGGCCCCAAATTTCCTACATCCGCCCCTGATTTTTAGGTTAAAATCATTTCTGTAATATACATCTGTGCCAAACTTATCTTAAATGATAATTAAAACTGAAGGAGAATCGTATTCATTCTGAAAGTATTTTGATTTTTTTTTTCTTTTTACAATTTTAATATATATTTTTTTTCTTTATTTTATTTTAACCTGATTATTTCTATTTTTCCCTGTCTGTTTTACAGGTGCACCTCATTCAGTACTAAAATCAAACGTCTGCATTTTAAAATTCAGGCTCTAAAAGCCGAAAATGATATTGTAAGCAGGTGCACTCAGATGCTGGCCAGAGAGTGCAGCCTCACGCTTCCTTATTTCAGTCACGTGACGGCTCAGACGGTCACGCGGGAATGAGCTTCAGCGCGTGTCCTTTCTCCGTGGCTCTACGAAGATTGCGCAGACCAACGGCCCAACCCCTTCCGTGAATCTAAGGAAACTCCGTAAGTGTGGTTGGTGAATAAGCTGAGCTGTAGTTCTCTAACGTCAAAAGCCTTGCGCAGGATTTTTTGGTACCGAGCGGAAAGGAGATGCACACGGCACTCGAGTGAGGTAAAGCGTTTGTTTTCATTCACTCCCCCAACATGGACTCTAGTAGCTGGGATCACGGAGCGGCTTTAGAGGCACTTAGAGTCAACCGAGGGCAGTAAATGACCCGCTGTTCCCCGCGGAAACACCGTCTAGTTTCCACACGGTCCTCTGCTAGCTAGCATTAGCCGGTTGGGCTGTGGTTGGTGAAGGTTAGCGTTAGCATGAGGCGAGCCATGAGGTTTGCTGATTTTACCGGCTCTTAGTGACTGAAGCTGCCGTAGAAGAAGAGGACCGGTGTTACCCTTTATCTTTCTTTATCTTACTCTCCGTCATCTGGAGTTTTATAGTTTATCTGCTGTTATCTGTGTCAGTTAGTTTGGGGCGGAAGAGATTTGCTCAGGTATGCAGCACCACGTGTCGTCCATGGATTGGTCGCGTGGGTTATTGATTGATGTGTTGCTTCCAGGGCTTTTATGGAGGAACAGGTCATTTTCATTTGACTGTGGAAATGGTCATACTGGGGAGGCTATGCTCACACCTCCTTC